GTCCATGCCATGTGGACTCACAGGCATGGTCAAAATGCACTGATTTGCTTTTCCTGGGGGTGTAGATAACAATCAAACTGGGATGTTGGATAGCAGCCGATTTAATTGGCAGGTCCTCCGTTCCCTAGAGGTGCAAATCAGAAAATCCAGGAAATGCTGATGGTTTTCAGGTTCTGTGCTACTGAAAAGAAACCAAAGGCCTCAAGAATCAATTGAAAAATGCTGGATTATATTCAGAATTCGGAGAGGCACCAAATGGATTATCCAGACCACTTTGTGCCCTGAATTGCTTTTTAAACTTGGTTTGCAGGGATGCACTTGAAGAAATCTTTATGTTCAACATAGCTTCTTTTTAAACACGCACTCACACATATTTTTAATAATTACAACATAATCCACACTATTGTCAGAAAGCTGGGGTCACCTTGATCACACTTGTGATTTTCTTTTGGGTAGTAAACAACCATACTAAGATTTTTCTTTTAAAATTAATAAAAAATGGGCCAGGTGTTGTGGCTTACACCTGTAATCCCAGCATTTTGGGAGGCCGAGGCAGGTGGATCATTTGATTTCAGGAGTTTGAGACCAGCCTGGCCAACATGATGAAACCTTGTCTCTGCTAAAAATACAAAAATTAGCCAGGCATGGTGGTACGCGCCTATAATCTCAGCTATTCAGGAGGCTGAGACAGGAGAATTGCTTGAACCCGGGAGGCGGATGTTGCCGTGAGCCAAGATTGTGCCACTGCACTTTAGTCTGGGCAATAGGGCAAGACTCCCTCTCAAAAATTAATTAATTAAAATAAATTTAAAATGTATATCCTCTGTGACATCCAGCTTCTAAAGCAGATGTTAACATTCGATCATTCTGTTTGATAATATGCCTTTCTGAGTATAATATACAAGGCAATCCGCTGAGTTTTCTCAGCGTTGTGGATACCTCACTGCAAAGTTATGGCTGGTAAGTTGTTGACCTCAAGGTGGGACTTGGGAGTAGTCGTGGCTTTTAGAACTTGAACTCTCCTACCTCTGTAAAGACCCATTTGTTACTTGTGACAAATACTTGTTACTTGACTTCCACACTAATATCTGTCCTGGGTGCTGCGCAGGCTTTGGAGGGAGGGCCGGTAAATATAAGTGTCTATCTGCAAGCCTGTTATCGACTTTATTTTTCTGAAGGAGAAACCAAGGTATCTAAGGTTTATTGATTTGCCTGTAGTGATTCAGTGAGTCATCAGGGGATAGGGAATAAAACCAATTTCCTGGCGTCATTTCCCATGCACACAACCCCTTACCTTGCAGTGCCTAGACTGGAAGCCAAGAAGCCATCTCAGAGAATTTGATCAGAAAACATATGAAGGGTGATTCTAAAACCACAGAAGCATTGAGAAAGTCATAAAGATGTATAATATATGATAGCATTTACTAGCTATAAATAGGGGAGATGCAGGGAGAAAAATAGAGACCTTGTAAACCCATTGGGTCAGGATAAATAGAAACTGCTTCATATTTCATTAAAAATGGATTTTCATAAATTGCACTTTGATATCTTTGGGCGAAAGACAATATGTAAGGACTAAGGCGTTGTTATTCATTACTCTTTGTTATTAATAATTTGAACTGTTATTGAACCAACACAGCAACAAGGTATACTCGCCCTGTGGATAGGGCACTCTCCATGTGTTCTGGGCACTATTCAAAGTGTAGAGACAATCCACAGCAATCGTCTGCAAAGGCACTTAGGCTGTAAGGGACAGCAGGGAACTAAAACGCCCTGTTGCAAAGTGGACCCTGAGAGGGCAGCTCAAACCACAAAAAGTCACGTGAAGGAAGGTTTAGAAGCAGGGGCCAGAGAGAACCTTACAAATCAACTCATACAATCCCCTCATTTAACAGAGGAAGAAATTGGGGCCCGAGGGAGGCAGAGATATTTGCCCACACTTATGAGCTAATTAGCAGCAGAGCTCGGCTCCTGGCGTCTGATTCAGTAGCGGGTATTTTTTTTTTTTCTGCGTTGTTTTTCCCACTATACCACACTCAGAGCGAGAGGTGTGTTAAAAATCAAATAGGATGGTGTTCCTTCACCATCCAGAGAACAGAGGGCAGATAGGAACACAAAGTCAAAAGCAGACAAGCAAACAGTTAAGGAATTAGGCTTGGAAACATGAAGGGTCATTTGAAGCTAAACTGAAAAGATCCTTCATTTGATTTAAGGATGGGACAAGAGTGGGCAAAATGAAAGGGTTGAGTGAAGTTCAATTGGAGCAGTCAGGTAGATGGCCTAAGGGACACAAACCATGTGCTTGCCTCCCTTCCTGACTGATGCTACTCCAGGCAGAGATTAAGGGGTTCACCCAGAGCCTGAGACCATGCGTATCCAGGGGAAGACTGACCCCATCCTTGGCTCATACACACGAGTGCATGCACCCCCATGCCCACACGAGCCACACTCACGCACACACCTCCACCCCAAAGACAGCCCAAATACACAATCATTTACTCACTGAGGGAGGAAAGAAAAGGTCTCTTAGTGTTGCCTGCCAAGGCTGAGAAATGCAGGGGTCAGATAAGATAGAATTGGATATTAAGAACACATAAGACATGCTGTGTTTCCAAACGGTACCAGCGTGGTGTGTATACTGTGGATCAGCAGCAGTGTTAAAGTTCAGATCCACTCAACTTTCCAATTAGGCATTCACGTAGCAAGTAAAGCTTTTTTCCCCCAATATGAACTCCTTAGCATCTCCTGATGGCGACCACACACACAGTCCCCGTCACCATCTTCAGAGAGCAGGCCAGTGGAGCCCCACCCCGCCGCCCTCCCGCTCCCCGACTCCCCTGCTGCTCAAAGCACCCGTCAGAAATAAGCAAAGTGCTGCATTTGCTTCTTCCTTGCCAAAACAAAACAAAAACAAACAGAAAGCCTCTGCCTCATGCTGAATTCTCAGAGAACTGATGAATCTCTTTTCCTTGCATGTAGCTCCCCTATCCCTTTCTTGAGAGCTGGGGAGCCCTGTGTCAGTACGAAGGAAGCAGGGTCAGGCACTGCTCCTCTTGGGCCTTCTCCAGGGTATCTGGCCCTAACTCTCTTTCCTTCCATTTCCTGGGCTCTTCTTCTTTCCTTGCTAACTTATTCTCCTTATTCCTCCTCACCTGCAATCACTGTACAGGAAGCAGCAAAATCGAACCTGGGAGAGAGAAGTGACCAACAGATTCTTCCTCGGTGCTCCCTGCTGCCAACCTTACGACCCGGGTCGGAGGACTTCCCAGAGGAGGGGAGGGAGCAGCAAGCTGAGTGGGCTGGGGGCATCCCTAGATATGGTAGATTTAGCTCCAGAGCAATGGTTTAAACTGAATGTGGTGGACCAGCAAAAATCGGCTTCCCTTTTTGTCTTCAGCAAGATACTTCCCATCGTTTACTTGCAAAAGGCATGGTGTCTCCAGTGGTGTGTTGTTAAATTGCTCTAACTTTTAACCATAGTGAGCAGGCAGGGTTGTTAAATGATGGAGTTCACAGTTCATGGGGAAGAGAGGACTGTGTCGTCGATGAGCTCTAGACATCTCTGCTGCTCTTTGCCATTACTCAGAGCCATTCTAAGGTGGGGTTATAAACTCACACTGGGAACACATCACTGGATGGTGACCCTACTTCCATTCAGCCCATGCCTGGAGACTTTAAGAGCCCCAAGACCCCCAGCCACTAACACAAATCTGCAAGTTTGCTAGAAGAAATGAGTCCATCTAAGAAACTACAAGCTTAAAGCCCAAAAACTTGGCAAGGATGTTGATCCAGACAGGCACTCTGAACCTCAGTTTTCTTATCCAATGAAGTGGAGATAATAATGCCTACCTCCTGGGATATTATAGACATAATTGATTATACTCAAAGGTGTTTTGTTGCATCTGGCTGAAAAGTCTTCAAATATACCAGTTTACCTAGTCCTCTTGTCTCAGCCCTGTGGGTGCCCCCAGACACTTGGCGTGCCCTGAATATTGGGAGCCGAAGCATCTAGTTCTCCTAAGCAGAAGAAATTGCTGATGGTTGCAGAGCTGGCTATATGCAGATTTACAGAGTCCCTTGGTTGTTATAGCTATGACAGGTATGATTTAGAAGTGATGGTTGGTTAGTTGGTTTTTCCCTCTACCCTTATTCAAGAAAACCAAGAGAAACTCACATATACTTTGCTCCAGTTACTTTTTTAACAGAGAGCACAAAAAAGCATAAGGTCCATATGGCAGTTATTGATCTGGGCCATCTGGAAAGCCAGGACTTGCTCCCACCATGTTGGATCAGAAGCTGTTTCAAAAAGCCTTCCCTCCCATAAGAGATGTATTGGTCAGATGGGGACAGGGATGGATTTCATTACAGGGCGGGACTACAGCAAGAGGAAGCTGGAGCAGGACTCTGAAGGACCGTCTGCAACCCTGACCTACCACAAAGATCAGAGAGAACCAAGAAAGTGTTCACTGACGTAGGGCCATTGTAGGTAGAGGGTACCCCTTCATCGTCTTACTCACTCATGGGTGGCATGGCATCAGGTAACTAACAAAAACAACAATTATAAAATACTCTGCAAATATTTCTAGATGCCTGCAACATAAGGAAGAGAGAGTGTCAAGTTCAAGCTAGTGAGTGAGGTCTGGTAGCCCTAAAAGATGACATTTTTACTTCATTTTAAATGAATGTTCCACTTTTCTCTCTCTTCCTTAGCTTCTCAAGTGTTTTCCTTCTTCTACCTGCTCTCAGCCCAGAGGCAAAATCTTGCTTCCCTCTAAAAGTTTCTGGGAAGACCACTGATTATTTTCAAGTGAGAACAGTGTGAGAAAATAATTTTTTTACAGTATTTCTTTAAAAAGCCCAAAACAACACACCCATGGATTATTTTCAAGCTTGATAAAAAGAAAATTCAACAGAACTTTCCCATCTCCTTCAAAGACTGCTCAAGTGGCTGAGCTACAAACAGCAGTTTCAGTAAGACGGTTTTGCATCTTACACTACAGGTATTTCAAGCTAACAACGATGCAACTGAGGTGGTTCTGAACAAGCTCCACGCTCCGCTGCTGACAAGGTTTGTTAGGATCCGCCCTCAGACCTGGCACTCGGGCATCGCCCTCCGGCTGGAGCTCTTCGGCTGCCGGGTCACAGGTGAGGTGGGGGCTCCAGCGAGGTTGGGGTGCTGATTGAGTCCTAGGCTCTGCCCCCTTTCAACTCTGTGCAAACAGCATGACTATACTACATGACCTTCCCAGAAAGACTGGCTCAAGGACTCAAGTTCTACCAGAGTTTGTCTTTTTATTCATTCATTTGCCTTTCTGTGGATACGACACTTGAGCTTGGGGGTAAGTAAATGTTAGTTTGGGGATGACTGAAGGGAAAAGCATTTTGGGTTATGGGAACAGCATGTGGCAAGGAAAGGGCAGTGATAACACATATGAAGTAAAGACCTGATACTGACACCAGGAGTTTTCTTCTACTTGGCAAAACAATTACTAGGAAATATTTCATTCAGCATATATTTTTTAAGCATCTACGATTTCTACTATTAATAGCTAACATTTATGGAATGGTAACTATGTACAGATTTCATTCTAAGCACGTTAGATGTAACATCTTTTATTATCCTCATAAGGACTCTATAAGTATTATTCTCCTCACTTTACCAGTGAGGAAACCAAGACTTAGAGAGCTAGAGCCATGGTTTGAATCTAGGTAGTTTCAGTCCAAAACCCCTGCTTTCAAATAACACTCCCTGCTGCCTCAACCAGAGGCCAAGAGCTATGCGTGGTACTGTGGATACAATGGTAGGTACAACAGGCTCAGTTCTATGTGGGCCTATGGACAAGTTGGACAGACATACTGATAAACTCATAAATAAATGTAAAATCAAAACTATGATCAATGTCTGGAAATAGAGGCTTGTAGGGGATTTGACTCAGTCTAGGGGCTCAAGGAGGACTTCTTTGAGGAGTTGATGATTGAGGTGAGGTTAGAAGGCAGATAACAGACATGACCTAGTGAAGAGGGGAGGGAAAGCACACCAGGCAATGGTCAACTTTCTCAATGGCACTGTGGCAAGAGGGACCAAAAGAAAAGGTGAGGGGCGTAGACACAGCATATGGGCTGAAACCCAAGGTGTGTGGATTGGAGAAGACCAGAGCGGGAGTTGAGGCTAATGCAGAGGGTGCAGATGGGAGATGGTGATGGCTGGATCAGCCCCAGACATTTATGGACAGACCAATCCCCTTTATCTTACGGGCTCAGCCCAGGGCCAGCACGTTGCCTCTTTGACCTGGAAGACATTCAGTGGACATCCAACCACCTGTCTTTCCCCTAATCATTCCGGCCCTGACAGGGAGTGCTCCAGGTGTGACCCTGTTTGAGGTTTCTAGTTAAAACACCTGTGTTTGCGCCATCTCTGCCCCTCCACCTGCCTTTCTTGTTCATCATCTTGCCTGTGTTTTCCAACAATCCTGTGAGGTAAGGTGGGCGAGGGACTGATGAGGAAGCCTAGACTCAAAGAGGCTAAATAGCTTGCCCAAAGTCACCCAACTAGGAGGTGACAGAGCCAGGATCTGAAGCCACATTTTCTCAATTCAAATTCTCTGCTCTTAGCACCTTTACACAAAGACCCTGTTTTCTTTGAATGGGATCAGTTCATAATAATCCTGTCTAGGGGACTATTTTCTGTCCCTTTCCTGTTGCTGTTCCAGGCTAATCAGCAAAGATTTAGGTAAAGCTCATTCTCTGGAAGACTGAAAGGAGAGAACCAGTAATTTTGAAGAAGGGAGACAACCTGGCTCTTTTTTATCCATAGCTCAGTTTGCAAGGATGTAATGCACACTGACTATAGACCCTGCCTTGCCTGACATCATTTATTCATACATTCTCCACTCAGTCATTTGCTCCACACATCTGATGTGCCAGGCCCACACTGGGAATGGGACACAGAGACAGGAACAAAATAGATGGGGTCTCTGACATCATAGAACTTTCAGGCTAGTGAGCATGATAGATAATAAACAAACACAAGTACTGGATAAACTAGAACAAGCATATGATGAAAAAGAGCAGGATGCTCTGAGTGAAACCAATTTAGTGTGGATTGAAAATCTGGGTACAGCCTTTCTGTGGATATGACGCTTGAGCTTGGGGGTAAGTGAATGTTAGTCTGGGGATGACTGAAGGGAAAAGCATTTTGGGTCATGGGAGCAGAGTGTGGGAAGGATCCAAGGCAGGAAAGAGCAGTGATAACACATATGGAAGTAAAGAGCTGATACTGACGCCAGGAAGGTTTCCTTCTACTTGGCAAAAGATCACTAGGAAATAGTTCAATGCTTAGCTGAGTTCCCCTGTGCTCGCTGTCCCTAAGAGGGTCAGTGGGGACTAGTGTCATCCACAGGGATGTGCAGACATACATTCTGAGAGTCCTTGGTTAGAGCTGTAAGCACAGTTAATGGCCACTGGATACTTAAATATGCCAGGCACTGTCCTGTGAGCTATTAGATAGCAACTAACAGAATCCTTGCAACAGCCCCCAAGAGGTAGGCACCTCTATTATCTCCCCGTTAGATCTAAGGGAACTAAGGCAAAGAGCAATTAAATAATTTGCCCAAGGTCATCTGACTGTAAGTGGCAGCATGAACACGAACAAAGCAGTCTAGCTGCAATCCAGGCTCGTAACCACAGTGCTACACACATTCACCATGCAAAGAAATCAGTGCTGACTTAGTACTTGACAGTTGGGCTCTTTTGCAGCTTCCTCCTTATGGGGAGTAGTCCCTGGTTAGCAAGTGTCAGCCATGACCTCTGGTATCTTCCTCTCCTCTCTATAGATGCCCCCTGCTCCAACATGCTGGGAATGCTCTCAGGCCTCATTGCAGACTCCCAGATCTCTGCCTCTTCCATCCACGACTATCTCTGGAGCCCCAGTGCAGCCCGCCTGGTCAGCAGCCGCTCGGGCTGGTTCCCTCGAGTCCCTCAGGCCCAGCCGGGTGAGGAGTGGCTTCAGGTAGATCTGGGAACACCCAAGACGGTAAAAGGTGTCATCATCCAGGGAGCCCGCGGAGGAGACAGCATCACCGCAGGGGAATCCAGGGCGTTTGTACGCAAGTTCAAAGTCTCCTACAGCCTAAACGGCAATGACTGGGAATACATTCAGGACCCCAGGACCCAGCAGCCAAAGGTAGGCTGTTCTTGGAGGCCTCTGTAACCTTACCCTCAACTAGGAGGCTAAGCGGGCTGCAGGGAGTTGAGAATGCTGATGTCTCATCTAAACAGTTATCATCCAACTCCTGAAATCCAATAAAACAAATACCAGTTGGGAGATTACTTTGTGCCAGACACTATGCTAAATACCTTATTTGGACTCTCGTTTATTTGTTTGTTTGTTTTTGAGATGAAGTCTCGCTCTGTCACCCAGGCTGGGGTGCAGTGGCACAGTCTCAGCTCACTGCAACATCTGCCTTTTGGGTTCAAGTGATTCTCCTGTCTCAGCCTCCTGAGTAGCTGGGATTACGGGCTATGCCACCACGCCCAACTAATTTTTGTACTTTTAACAGAGATGGGGTTCAACTATATTGGTCAGGCTGGTCTCGAACTCCTGACCTTAAGTGATCCACCTGCCTCGGCCTCCCAAAGTGCTGGGATTGTAGGCATGAGCCACCACGCCTGGCCTGGACCCCTTTTTTTAATCTTCACAACATCTGTGCAAAGTAGATCTTTTTGTCACTCCCATTTTAGCGATGATAAACTGACACTTGTCATCATGCCCAGGGTCACACAGTTCACTTGTGGTAGAGCCGATTCAGAAATCAGAAGTCTGACTCCAAAGTCCAAATGCCTTACCACCACTGAACACTGCCTTTGTATAAAGTTCAACACTCTTTATACACTCTTTCAGCTAAAGTTTCCTTGAAATTGGCCAGACATCTAAAGGGGATGTGGTTTCTGGAGGCCAAGCTATAGAAACTAGAGGTTTACTTCCAAAAATAATGATGTTTTTCTGAATGTCGCTGCATTCCTTTGTATTCTCCTAGTTTTGACTGCTTAGATCTTTCCTGCCTCTCAAACTGAGGCAAGAGAGAAGCAAGAGAAACTCACCCCAAGCCAAAAGTTCAGGCTAGTACAGCTTACCCTCCTGCCACCAGCGTGAAGACCAGCCTTCAACATAGACACAAAGAGTCCCAGAAGGGGAGGAGGCATCATGCCTCTGTCTCCTGGCGGGCCAGGCTCTCTGATTCTTATTTCTAGTTACCTCTTGTTTTTCTTAAAAGAAGAGGTTCCTAAAAAAGAAAGGAGTGTTGCCTGTCTCTTGGCCACCTTTGCCAAGCAAATGTTTCCATTCTGAATACAGAGGCAAGAGCTGGGTTGGAGGTTTTGTGATGCCGAGGTAAACCCCCAGTTCCCAATTCCAGAGGCTTGGGAAAGCTCAGGGCTCGGTCACTGGAACCTTGCATCGATGGAGCAGAAGTTGGACCACAGGCTTCCCCAGGGAGAGCTGAGCCTGGTTCTTCTTGGGAAAGGAGTTGATCTTTGCCATTGTCAGAGACAGCCCTATCCGAGACAGTGCTTCCAGTTCAGAATTGTGAACCCAGGGCATCCTGAAAACTGGAGTGGTCCTGCAGGATTCCTGGGGGCTAATCAGCCGCAGGACCTGGCCACCCTACTCCTGTCCTTCCCCTGGATGAGTGTCTGCAAGTGTACTCTAGGCTGGTCCTCCATCCAGCTCCACCAAAGCAACCCCTGTTCCCCGTGTCATCAGTTTTATGTACTGGGACTCCATGTGAGGTTTCTTTTGACAGGAGTGCATTCCCTAAACAAAGGTTTGGGAAACAGTCTAAGACTATCGATGTGTGACCAGAGGCCTAGAAAAGAAAGGGATCATTTTCCTGTCAGGCGCTCAGTGAGTTAGGAATGATCAGTCAGCTTGGGCTACCTCAATCAAGGCTTTCACACATTAGAAAAAGGAGAGTTCCTTTCTCGGTAGACCAGGAATTTGGAGCAGTTCAAAGATTGCCCAAGCTGCACCCCCTCTCTAGCCAAGGTCAGCTGATAATGCATTTGGAGCCAAATTCTTCCCAGATACTCCATTTCAGTCACCAGGTAAAAGACACAACCTGGAAATTGCCACCTTTGTTTACTCCCTATTTTCCATAGTTCTGGGTCTCTAACTATCTGCCAAATGAATAAAACCCTTGGTCTGATAATGAAGCCTCTGTGGATTGGAATGTCCCAGTGACCAGGAATCACCCAGGAAGCTGCCTTCCTGGCTGGAGGCACGGGGCAGAGAGGAGAAGGGGAAGGAAAGGGAGGAAGGTGATAGGCAGTGGGTCCCACACCAGGAGGGCTGAGTGGCCTCTCTCGCTGCAGCTGTTCGAAGGGAACATGCACTACGACACCCCTGACATCCGAAGGTTCGACCCCATCCCGGCGCAGTATGTGCGGGTATACCCGGAGCGGTGGTCGCCGGCGGGGATTGGGATGCGACTGGAGGTGCTGGGCTGTGACTGGACAGGTGAGACTACACTTCCTTCTCTTTGCAACTCACCCACATGGTCCACTGACCCTGGCATCCCACGAGGCCCTGGGAGGGGTGTGGAGAGGGCAGCCATCCCAGGAGCTGGAAACCTGCAGACCCCTGCTGTGTTCTCCTGCCTCAGACCACGGGTACCACAGCCTCTGGACTCAGGACAGTTTCTCAAGGGATGCACTTTGTCATTTTTAAAGAATGATTTCAGTTCTCCAACTCGAGTCTCTCAAAAACAAATCATAACCACACACCACCCACCCAAATTCAATTAGACCCTAGCTCTTCAGGCCAGAGGGCTGTGGCTGTTGATTTAGGGATGAAAAAAAAACCTCATGATAATAAAGTAATCGGTTTATGTCTGAATCTGGACTCCAGATGTCAGTGGCTAAGAGACTTCATTTTCATTTCAGAGCCACATCTGTAAAAGGCATTTATTTGCTCGGGAGGGACCCTGTTGCAGGGAGCTGATGCAGGCAGGACTCCTTCTCAGGGTCCTGCTCATTCCTGCCAGGTGTCCCACACCTCGGGGAACACCTCTCATCCTCCCAAATAAGGGTGAGGCCCACTGAGGGTGCCCACCCTTCCTGGTTTCCAAGGGAGGGCCCTGCCCTTCTGAGTCACGCCCCACCTTCCTTTCCTCTGGGCGCCGGCCCTCCTCCCTCAGGAGAGCTGGCACCAGCTCTTACTCGGTGCTCACTCACGCCTGCCAAAAGGAGTTCGTGGGAGCCACTGGGGCTCAGGGCCACCAGAGCAGCCGCCAGCCTGAGCTACCCTGCCGTCTTCCACCAGGGCCCCAGGTATCCCTATTTTCCTGTCTGTGCCGTACCTGTCATGGGCTCAGCCAGCAGAATGGTGTGAAGGATTAATAAGGGCATGTCGAAGAAGTCCTTTTGGCTCCTAGGGAGAAAAATGCTGCCTGTATGCTGGCTACGGCAGCGCAGAGAAACCCCATTGAGGCCCACGGGCTGGGAAATCGGCCCAAATTAGCCTCCTCACTTTTGAATTGAAGGCAGCCCCAGCGAACACATCTTCGTAGGAAGACACTTTACTCCCCATTACCTGGGGAGGAGGCCAAAGTTCCCTGCAGCCTGCTAAATGTGTGTCACCTGTCCTCTCACAGGTGTGGAAAACCTCCCCCACAGGCTGGCTTCATTTGTGACTGCACTGGAATTGGCCTCAGTGCTGTGGGGGATCCAGGAGCTTCTAAGCCAGTGGCTTTCACACATTTCTGCCCATGATACACAATTTAAAATAAACTTCCTTCACAACCTGCTTCACCTATAAACACACACACACAGTTGTGCATGCGGGTACGGTATATTGGTAAGTGCTTGGACTCTGGAGACAGATTGCCAAGTTCAAGTCCTGCCCCTGCCATTTGCTGGCTGCATAACCTCGGAAAAGTCAGTCTCTCAGCGCCTTGGTTATCCCAGCTGAAAACTAGATAGACAGTTGTCTATCTACATCTGCCCTAGGGTCATTATGAGGATTAAATGAATGAATGGATATGAAGTGCTTAGACTACTGCCAGGCACCCAGCAAACCTGTTATGATAAGCACACGTGACTGAAACAAAAGGTTCCCAAAGCAATGGTCATCTTAGCCATGAAAGTGCACTCCAAAATATTATAATCGATATGTTTAAATGCTGGTCATGACCTCTTCGATGGATTCTACAACCCCACAATGAGAGTGATGCGTGGTTTGGAAAATATCACAGACCTGGGCCAATTCCTCTTTCATAGACAAGGAGAGTGGAATCTGCTCCCCAGAGAGTGGAAGCCACTTGCCAGAGGCCACTCAGCTGGTTGAAGTCCACCTCATTCTTCCCCCCATCCTTTGCCCTTCGATGCCGCGCCCTCCCAGTCTGGCCAGCGGGACAGTTGCTAATGACCTCTTTTCCTCACTGCTCCCCAACCTCAACCTGCCCCAAATTACACCGGTGATGGTCAGTGACAGGTTTCTCATTTCAAAGCTCTGTCTGGCCATTCCTCGGAAGATCAGTGTTGAGGAGCGTTACCCTCTGCCCAGCCTCCTTTCCTTTGAAGTCTCTGACATCTGGTTTCAATTTCAGGGGGAGCACTGCTGTTTGATGGGCAGTTACCTCGGAGCGCCCAGTACAAACAGAGTACAAACAGTATAAACACGAGGCCTCCGGACCCGCCGCACCTCCACTTTCATTTACACGCCCTGCCCTCTGGTGCCTCACTGGCCCCTGGGCTTAACATTCTCTACACCAATCAGCTGACCCATTTTGTTACCTAACATTTCCAGAAACTGTTCCCCGTACGTCACGTGGCTATGTTTGCTTTTCAAATTTCCATCTGTTTCTCCCACTGATCCTTGGTTCACTTCTTCATCCCTATCCCAAAGGATAACAGGAAAAGTAATGGGCTGGGACAAGCTGCTGCAGCTAAGTAATTTCACAGGGCTGCTTCACCTGTCCGTTGGTTTGTTTGTGTTTCAAATAATTATGTTTTGCCTTCCCAACCTGTAGTTTGCTTTACAATTGAGTTTCTATGACACAGTGACAAATTTGAACTTACAAATTAGGACACTTCGAGGTTATTTGCTATTTACTGTGAGCAAGAGGCAGACACGGCAGCAGGAAGTATAAAAGGTTATGTGCGTAGTATTTAATAGCAGAAAGGTGGGAAGTCAACCGTGAAAAAGCTATTCAGTGTATTTAGCAATTTCCTCCAGCTCCTGCTTTTATTAAATGGTATCCTGAAGGGTGCCTGACAAAGGCGCCTAATCACATACAATAGTGCAAAGGAGCATCTATAGAAATGAGAGGGACAAGGCACTGTCGTCTTGTGGAAGGACAGCTCTGGGATGAAGACACCACCCCAAAACACGTGGACTTGAGCACAGGTTTCTAGAACCCCTTTCACCCCACCCAGGGCCTGACTCATAGCTCCATTCACTCCCTCCATAGTTGCTGGATGAATGATGGGCATGAGCAAATAAGCAAATGAATAGGTGAATGAATCACCTAGAGCTGAGGTCAGAGCCCACTGCCTGCAGCCAGGTTTGGCCTAGCCAGGGTTCATGGCATGCTTCTTAGTACAACATTTTTAATAAGTTGCCAATTTTTAAAGTCTGGAGATTTCACATAGGGATTTTTGCCTTCTTGTTGGGGGAAGGAAAGGAGGAAATATTTGGAAGACCTGGCCTGGGCACTCTGGGCCACCTTGCCTCCAGGAACCAATCTGCTGGAGCCAGTCATGGAGGCCTCCTTTAAACCAGGCATGCATGATCACAGCTGTCACCACTTCCTCTCTCTCCAACCCTCCCCTGCCCCCACCACCTGTGTCTCCTCTCCTCTCCTCACTTACAGGAGGTGTTTGGATCCAGGAAACATTTGAATTTGCCACCCTGACCTAAAGGCATAGCCCCAAATCACTTTCACCATGTAGAGTCTGAACCCATCCATAACCCCGTCCATCCAGTTTTGTGCAAGCATGAACCAGAGTATGCTTTGGTCCTTCCTTGGAGTCAGCGTCGCCTGTCACCCACCTCCATTATTGTCTCACGTGGCAGTTTGTGCTAGCCTCCAGGCCTCTGCCGTGGAGTAAAGAACATGGGTTTGTGTCCCTACCTCTGTCACTGCTGGTTCTGCAACCCAGGACCATTCTCATTCTACTCGGGTGATGCCCCCGACCTCATTCACAACACACAGATGTGGCTGCAGAGCTTTGTGCACATGTGTGCCTCTTCTTTGCCTTTTCTAAAAGCCCACGCTTCATTTTTGGCATCTTCCTCCTGCTGGGTTGCAACACAGGCTGCTACAGCATTCACTTCTCTTCCTTTGCCCTTACACAGACTCCAAGCCCACGGTAGAGACACTGGGATCCACCGTGAAGAGCGAAGAGACAACCACCCCCTATCCCATCGAGGAGGAGGCCACGGATTGTGGGGAGAACTGCAGCTTTGAGGATGGTAAGCACATCCTGCATCCAGATGGCATGGGTGGGGACTAGGTAGAGTGGGAGCTGGCCTGTGGCTGGGCAGGGACCTAGGGGTCCCCTGGGTCAGAGATCCAGTGGAATCTCAGGGAAAGGGTAAGAGAGGTGGGGACACTCAGGGGTTTGGGACAGTGGCTATTTACAACCAATGTAGAAGCATTCAGATAGTGTAACAACCAGTACAGCCCTACTGGTGTGAACCCAGACCTCAGGTGAGACAAGGATGCCTCCAAAGAGAACTCTTCCTCCTTTAAAAAGTCTCATTTGTTGAGGCCTCACTATCTTGCTTGTCTGCTAAAGGAAAACCATTCTCATCCTTAGAATTAACAGCTCTGATAGTTTTTCCTGTGAAGCTGTGTCTGTGTGCTACAGCCAAATGAAGATATGGCGGTCATCGGGGTGATTTGGTCCATGGAGCACAATAGTTGGGTTAATTCAGCAGTTAACTGTGGCTTAATTGTGTTTCCCTGTGTCTTTTGCTGCCACTAATTTGAAAAGTATAACAGTGATGATTCTATGAGATAGTGCATTTAGCAGCATCACTTACCCATGGAAAAAAAAAAAAGAAGAAAAAGAAAAGAAATAAGTAAAAAAGTAAAAAAAAAAAAAAAAAAAAAAAAAAAAGCACATTGTATCCTCTGTAACTAGAGTGCACACGAGAGACAAAGGCAGAAATGTAAAAAGGCATCGTCCACCATTCCCTCAAAACTCAGGGGCTCTGTATTTCTGGATGGGTCTCATCACACGGGAAATCTACATTCCTTTCATTTATCTTTGGAGCATATCCAAGTTAGATAAAAGCAATAATTGGCAGAACCCAAAAGTAAGTCACATTTTAAATCATACTGCTAAAGTCACCAAGTAAGAGGACATTTCTAATAAACCACAAATTTTGGAACACCTGGCATTTTGGCTGGAATGTTAAGCTTGATAGCCTCAACTTACAGTAAATCAGTGATCATTACTAAATGTTCATTAAACAAAATGAGGGAAGATTGGCAGAGACTAGAGAAGTGATGGAGACATAAAGAGGTAGGTAGATGGCGGACTCCCTGGACCTGCAAGCACAGCCATTTGACAGGCAGAGAAACTGCACTGATGGGCTGGAGGACTGCAGAAAACGGCTACAAAGAAGAATGGGAGAAAAGCCAGAAATAAATGCTGAAGTTATGTGAATGAAAAAGCAATAATTTAATTCATATGCTTTTGGGACTGTGCTTTCGTATTATTGTGTGGGTGGGGGACGCTGTTGGTCAGGGTTAGTTGAATACAGAATTCTGACATTTTAATGAACTTGTTTTTGTTTTATGGAGAGAAGAAGGAGAGTTGGAGAATCTTCCAAGACATGCTTCAGATAGTTTGAGAGCAAAAGTGGAACGCATGGGGAGTTAAGACACAACACTGGATTTGCAGAGTTAGCTTGCTGGGGAACCTGGAGTGGAGGTTCTGTCTAAACGACAATCAAAGGAAAAATTAAAGATTCTGCTGCAGAATTTCAGAAGTTTATTTTTAATATGATTTTCCCGTTTATGGTGGTTTGTTTCATTTGAGGTTTCTTTGATGGTTCCTCCCTTCTCTTTTCACAAAAGATTTTTTTTGTAGGCTTTGGTTCCTGAGATAGAGTATGCATGTAAACATTACAGAGGAATTATGCTGTATTGAATTACTTCATATTTTTGGAGGGGAAAAATAGAAATTCAGAAATTGTTGGGAGAAGGGGATAGTAAGGGCCGAGGCCTGGCTTTTCCAAGCCACAGGTTGATGCTTCTGTAATAGATTCCATGTGTTTCCTCTCAACTCAAGCTGACTTTGGCCAAGGGTGGGCAAACATTAGATATCCTGTCCTGGAAAGGGGAGGCATTCACAGGGCCTGGTGGCAATCTTCCTCCTCCCTCTGACGCCAGCAGTGCCCTGCCCCCCAAGAGGTGAGCCCTCCTCACCCCTATGGTGAGTAATTTGTTTCTACCAGTCTGTGGCTCCCTTTAGACTTCCTAACCTGCCTTCTGAGCCTTCCCCATGGAAATTCCTCTCTAAGAACCCTGGGAAGGGAAGTGAGAAGGGCAGAGACCCCACTTCCTCCCTGCTACCAGCATTGGCCAGCATTTTTCCGCTGTCTCCGCAGCCACAGCCGACAAACATCCAAATTTGGGTTCCCATTTCCCCTTTCCCCACCTCCACACCACCTCCACTTAGTCACATACTTGGCATGAGCTCATACTGGATTTTTGGAGCTGGGTGGAACCTCAGAAGAAACTCTCTTGGTTCTGTCTTCAGGCTTAGGCAGGTGAACCACCAAAGCAGACAGGACACCATTGTGTCATTAGTTCTTAGATTCCCATGGGGAAAGCATTCACCACCTCCCTGGGGTCGCAGCCTCCAGGGATTCAGCACGATGTGAAATGATTTTTCCTCCTGGTCAGTGCTGAGCTGAGTGGCTGGCTGGTCTGGCCCCTTCGATTTGCTCTTAACATGCCAAACTTCCCACCGGGCATACCTCCCCATGGAGATGCTGAACTGTCCCCGTCTTCAGAAATAGAGACGGATCACAAAGAGGTGAAGCGTAGCAAACAAGCCTTCCTTGTTTCTGAGGTCACTTTCTCCTCACTGGGCAGAACCTCCCAGGCATTTCAGTCTCTCTGGATGCTAATGGGCCACCCCATCTCCTCTGAGAGCCAGGTTGGCAGGAGATGAGATAATACTTTTTTTGGGAGCCAGCCTTCCACCAAGGCACTGGGGAGACATTCTTCTCTGGCATTTAGGGAACAGCAATTTTCACATTTGTCCGCTCTCCGAGGTGGACAGAAGAGGCCGATTAGAGCCTGAAGCCATTTGGTGGCCTCATTTATAATTGCTTACTATGGGAACCACTGGCAGACTTGGCTTTCACGCCTGGGAAGGATGAGACCAAAGCCTGACCCGAAAGCCAGCGATCGCCAAGATGAGTTAAATGAATAAGCAAAGGAAGCTGCTTCTTTCTCTGCTCTCCACTCAGGCCTTGCCAGCCATTTAAATAGCACCACTGTGGCTGTTCTCTGAACCCACTTCATTTGCCTTCCTTTGGGTTATTTTTTTGCCCTTTTAGACAAAGATTTGCAGCTCCCTTCGGGATTCAACTGCAACTTTGATTTCCCCGAGGAGCCCTGTGGTTGGATGTATGACCATGCCAAGTGGCTTCGGACCACCTGGGCCAGCAGCTCCAGCCCGAACGACCAGACGTTTCCAGGTAAGCCAGCCGTGAGTGAAGAGATGAAAGAGTTAAGGCTAGCCTGTTCCACATTCTTCAACCCCAGATTCCCTCATAAGCCTCATAACTTCCCACCGCAGAGAAATCCTCTGTTCTTTGCCCACAAACCACCACAGTCTTTGCTCAAGACGTCACCTCACAGAATAGCCAGTTGGTGGTTTCCAGCCTCTCCTGTAATTACAGCACAGCCTGGAAGCTGGGAGGAACAGGGGGAAGCCAAGATAGAAGAAAGAAGACAAAGAAAGAAGGGGCAATTGGGGGGCCCTAGGAGATGGAGCGAGTCAGTGTCCTCTTGTTCCCATAGCCAGCACTCACTGCCACTATCACAGAGCTCCTTGTCAACTTCAAGCTGGGTACTGTTCCTAAAATGGCTCATTGGGAGACCACTGGCCTTGAACCTGGCTGATACATCTCTTTGGGTGCCATTGCTTCTATAGCAAGTCAAGTTGACGGGCCAGAATGCTGCCATGCCCATGAGTATCCAGCAGAGCTGCCTGGCACTTGGCCTCTAGAAGAGTATTGCTGAAAGTCCTAGATACATTGTTAAGCCCACCCTTTTAGTTTCAGAAAGCCAGGTTTCAGAAGCCTTTCCTGGCACTGCTGACAAGAAGGGGCTGCCTCTAGCCCTTCTAAACAGGTAGAAGCAAGAGTTGTCTGCTGTCTCCACTGTTAGGGGCTTTGACAGCAGTATGGTGGTAAATGTTTAACAATAGGCGTTTCAGAGATTTAAAAAAGAAAACAAAACCTGCTTTTTAATGTTTGTGACTTTCAGCAGTGTAAATACTCTCACCATGGTTCAACTTAAGTGACCAACACAACATCACTGGAGACGGAGTTGAGAAGTCAGTGATAGGGCATTATATAGTGTTTTTCTCCCATCATGCAAATACAGTAGACAGAAATGACTCCAGAAGTATAGGTACTGATAAAATGTACTAAGATAACTAGGAAGTGTTGGGTTTAGAGGATTTGTTACCTTTATTTTTTAATACAATGTATTGAATTATAGCTTTATGTAATTTTTACTAATGAATACATTTAACAACGGGCTTGCAAAACATTTGACAAGAAGCTGTCACAGGCTGGTACACCTCGGTTCCAGCACAGCACTCAGTGACTTTGAATTCCGTACCTCTGGCCTGGGCCTGAGACCTCCGTAAGCATTGGAGAAGAGAGGGGTGAATTCTGGAAATTTAGTAGATGAGTTTGACAGGGTTCAATGGGGAAAAGCTAGAAAATAAAAGGGGGAAGCGGTCTTCCCTTCTGCACGCTTCCTTAGAACTGCTTCCCACCCCAAGCACTGGCATGTCCCCTCAGACACTAGGAGGGCACTTGGAGCCTCCTGACACAGCCCACACTTGCTTCCCCGGAGGGTCACAGTGCCTGATCTGGAGAAAAACATTTTCATATTTCAAGTGTTTATCTCTTCAGCATTTGAGTGCTCAGAGAGATTAATATCTGAAGATCACCATGGCCTCAGGCAACAGAAGAGAACACTTACCCCGGCCAGCCGTCATCACCCTCCCTTCTCTGTTCACTGCAATAATGTTTAATTAATATAATGAGCCTCCTGCACGTTGGGAAAAAATACTTATTTTTATAACACAGCCTGGATTTTTCATTTCATTTCCACTCCTTTGAGACTGCATCCAATTAATTCAGGGTTGTTCCCAACCCCCATGTTTTATTCGAATGTAAAGAAGGTTTGTGGGGTCTGTGTAGGTGTGCATATTCTAGTGTTAATGTGTGTGCATGAATGTGTTTGTGGTTTCTGTGCGTGCGTGTGTGTGCGTGCGTGTGTGTGTGTGTGTGTGTGTGGTATGTATCTCAGCAAAGGCGCTTTGAATAAAAGAATATATAGCCTGGGCCCTCTGCAGGCTGGGGAGCTTGGGTGGCTCTTACCCAGTGTCTGTCCTCAGGTTCATTCTAATGATGCAGGCCTCGTCCCTTGTACTCTTCTAAGCATATTTTCTCTGGGAGTGTCTGAGGGCAGCCCTACCCAGGCCACAAGGCCACCAATTACTGAGTCACAGTTCTAGGGGAGTTAAGTGACCTCCCTTTGACCCTGGCCTGGACCTCTGTTTCTTCACCCGTTCACCACCACCTCCCCCTCATCCAGTCCTGGCCTTCACCTGAAAGCCCCTACGGCTGACCCTTGCTACTGGTTGGGAATTCTAGTCTTTGTCCTCCTTCCAGTTGATTCATTATACCCTGTGGTTTGGGAGGGCTTTTCAGAGCAAGCTCACAAAGTGGGCAGAAGTCCAACCTTTGGCTGAATGGATGGGGACAGAGAGAAAATTAGGGCCATAAGGAACTGTCAAATCTAATGTTGTTTCTCCCTTAAGATATTGAAAGGGAAAATAATTATTTTCCTATTCCAGAGGAATCCCTGAAGTTTGGGAAAGTGGCACTTGTAACCTGCCTCCAGGAAACAATATCATAATATTGTTCCCAGACCCCTTCCCTCTCTCCTCTGATGATTTTATGAACCGTTCTCTGTATTTCCCCTTTTCCTTCTCCTGACAAAGCTCGATATTGGGCTTTAAGCAAAAGAGGAGAGAAAGCCCTTTCTGTTCACGGTGGTCCTTTCTTCTTCTTAGGAAAAAAAAGTGGGGGAGGCCCTGAGGGGTTTGGGGAGAAGGGAGGCAGCTGGCTTGGTCGGGGGCAGAGCAACTGCTAATGGGTTCGGAGCGGCTGGCGCCCGCGGAGTCAACCCTAAAAGCCTGTTCTGTGCCACACTTGCCATCCACAGAGGGGACCATCCTACTGTTCATGAGCGTGTGCCATATGCTTTATCCCCTTATGAGACAGGCAAACAGAAGTAATGAAATTTAAGAAAGGAGGTGTCTCCATCAAGGACAGGGGGCATCGGGGTGAAGGGAAAGGTGGGCTGGAGAGCAACTATCCTAGTCGAAGTGCCTGACATGGTCCATGTGATCCGCGGGGCCGTGGAAACTACTTACATTCCTTGGATGTTTTCTGAGTTCGTTGTTTTTCTCATATTTTTTTCTTTTTTTTTTTTTTTTTCTTTTCCTTTCAAGTAAGCAATTAGTTCTGTTCTTTTTGGCCAGGGGTTGCCGAAGGCTGGTAAGACACCCACTGGTTTCATTCTCCTGTTTTTGTTTTTCAAGATAGTCTTTCAAGCCACTCAGAATTTCTGTTTTTAGCTCTTTGCTTGTGGCTTAGCTGCCTGGAGTGTGTTCACACCAGCCCCTGGGGACCCTGCTCCAAATTCAATGACCCCTGCTAGCTGCAGAGAAACACTTAATGTTCTCTCAGAGGCCGCTTTGCCTTTCCTCTGTAGCGACAATGACATAGCAAGTGCGCCCCTTAGCAGGAGATGGCATTTCCCTACAGATATTCTCAGGTGCTTTGATCATAGACAGAGTTTTGAGAATGATCAGAGGACTGCCTTTAAGAACCAAGGCAAAAACTCCTGGAGATCATAGGGTGGGCAGGTATCTAAAGCTGCAGCGTTGCATTTGGTAGCCAAGAGCCACGTGTGGCAATTTAAATTAATTAAAATGATTACAGCCAAAACTTGAGTGCTGCTGTCCCACCAGCTACGTTCCAAGGGCACAGTCACTACGCTGTATGGGTCAGTGCATACACAGGGCATGTCCCTGTCTACAGGGCCTCACGGGATGTTGTATTGGACCACGCTCCTCCAGTGCTCTGGGCATTAACATGAGAGCAACCTCCAGGGGCCCTTGCTGATGCTTTAGTTCCTCGGTTTTGGTATGAACCAAGAAGCAAGTAATGGGGGGATGTGTCTTCTCTGGGATCCCTTGATGGAAGTGTTCAGTGGCTGGTATCTTTATAGCTGCTTCCTTCTACCTCACTGGATAACTACAGTAAAGTAAGCAAGTAACATGGCATTAGATAGTGTAGGAACTATTGTTAACCAAAAGGCGCATCGTAAGTAAATATTAATACTAAGTAAGGCCGATAATAATAATCATTGTGATTGTTGCAGTGATTATTATGATTGTCAGGAATGAGACAAAGAAGACTAGGTAAAGGGTACTAGGCCAGGTCAGCTTCAGAATCCTCCAGTGTGCGTTCCCCCAACTGTGTGCTCTTTTATTTATGGATTGGCCGTGTGAAGTCTGATTATAGTATTACGTCAATAGCTTTATATCATGAAAGTGATAGAAAACAAGCAAAGCTGATATTGGACAAAGTTTTGGCTGCCTAGCTTATTCGTTGATGGGCTTGAGGGAACAGAACCTTTACTCTAGGCTTGAAAACAAGCTCAAGTCTTGTTTTTAAGCCTAGAGTAATTGTTTTAAAAACAAGATTATGGTCACTCATGCCTGTAATCCCAACACTTTGGGAGGCTGAGGCAGGTGGATCACCTGAGGTCGGGAGTTCAAGACCAGCCTGACCAACATGGAGAAACCCCATCTCTACTGAAAATACAAAATTAGCCGAGCATGGCATGCCCGTAATCCCAGCTACTTGGGAGGCTGAGGCAGGAGAATCGCTTGAACCCAGGAGGTAGAGGTTGTGGTGAGCCAAGATTACGCCATTGCACTCCAGCCTGGGCAACAAGAGCAAAACTCCATTTCAAAAGAAACAAGTTCAAGTGGGAGAAAGTCAAGAATTCTAATGTTATGAAATATTCAGATTTTACAAATGGTGGTTGGCTATTCCTTCAAATATAAGTGGTAAAATTGTGAATGCCTCATTGGGGCGGTTTTGATTGGGCCATTGAAGAAATTCCATTAGAGTGGGAGACCCGAGCTGTGATTCACTGTGGATGTGCACACAAGAAGATTAAGTGAAGTGTGGGTGGGTATGGTGGGAGGATTGTTGCAGAGAAATCAGAGGAAATAATTGATGAGTGAACTTACTTATGATGGGCTTGATTTTTGACAGTGAGCAAGTGGTGACTGAACTGAAAAGCAACTCTCTGAGTTCAAAAGATCAGGTAGGACCGATGGCAGCAAATAATGCACTGAATTGCTGTTAGATTG